TAAGCTTTCAACTGTTTCGACATTAAGCCTGTTCCTGTATTTATTTTTATTGAGATTTTTCGGAAGCAGCACTACTGTGCGGTAATATAGCTAACGTCAGCTTATACTCTGCCAAATTGATAAATATACATCTATCCAACACATTTTTCTGGTCGCTGCTTTAGGAAATAAAAATTAATTCCACAAGGAATGTTAAAGAGTAAAATAGACAACTTTGTTACACCTTGCTATTTATACAAAACCTTGGTGGTTGCCGCAGAAGTTATTGAGCAAAAATCTAAGAAGCTACCATATTATTTTGTAATATATTCTTAATGTGAATGGAAAAAAGTAAACAAATCGGAGCATATTTTAAGTCAAGCGGAGTAGGGAGTAGATTTTAAGTTTAAAAAAGAAATCGGAGTAAATCTAATCCGATCGGAGCAAAGTCTGGACGCTGTCGACGAGTATCGCGCGTTGGAATACGGGCTTCCTGCCAGAAAATTAATGCAGCATTTATTGTAAGTTTTGCACTTTCTCGTAATTGTCGATAAACGAGACGTTGTAAAATAGAACCTGTGGTATTTGCCTATTCGATGGTAACTTTGCGCCGACGATCAAATGCGAAATTTGGCCAATTACCACATTTTCGACGCGTTGACGGGTTTGAATCGATGGCGCGATCAATGTTGACGGTGGTTTGGACATTATGATTTCAAATACTTAAATATTTCACGGTTTGAATCGCGGATTGAATTCACAATGTTATATTTCCTACTAGTTTAAAAACATTTTGGTTAAGTTACAAAACGCCTAAAAAGGTATTAGCCGGTGTTTTACATTTAAAAGTGAATCCCCCATATGTCTTTTACCATTTAATTATATCGTTGTTTATTTGCTTGTTCAAATTTCGATTCTAAGGGCGTGTGTGAATCGGTAACAAAGTTTTATGGAGAAAACTGTTGAATAATATGTTTACTGTGGTGAGACAGTTTTACCAATCTGCTGTGTGAAATGAAATATTTTTTTACAGCAGTAAATTTTTGATAACCGCAGATTTAAGCGGAATAAAACATTACACATTGAAGTGAAGTTAATATTTTAAGAAAACCTCTACCATCGTAGATTACAATTCATCAATTTAAGCTTTTATTTAACGAAAAATTACACACATCAACAATCTTTGCGATTGTCAAAATTTTGTATTCCTTTGTCAAAAATTTCACTAGCCCCATGAGCTACTGAAATTTTATTCACGCACGCTCTAAGAAAATGTTTTTAAACGAACAAAAAATTAATAATAAAATTTGAAGGATTTCAAATATTGGGCATGGGCCTTTTTAGGTGGAAAGGAAAAAAATAGCCCAATCCGCCATCTAGAACATGTTTTTATTTTTAAGAACACCCCTAATGTACATATTTACATACATAGGTATATATGTATGTCTGTATGTTTCTTACCTCCCGTGAGTATCAACACAATCAATTCGCACGCCAATTTCATTAGGGCACGCGCCTCACTGGTACTCGCCAAAGTCTTATATTTCTCAAGCAGATTGTAGATCGTTTCGCAGAGTCCATCCTTTGCCAATAGCAATTTTACATCATCATTCTCTGCCTGATAATGCAGCAGTTCAAGGCACATTTCCGCTAAATCGGGATTTGTGGAGGCTGCCAAAATATGCGACAGCTGAATATTGAGATTCGCATCGAAATTCAAATCGGCCACATTTTCAGTGAGTATGCTGAGCAATGGCAAAGTATTCAATAGCAAATCCTCCTGTTCCTCAACATTAGCCACTCCAATTGTGATGATCTGTTGTAGTTTTTGCATAATTTGCAACTCCATAGCACGTTTGGCCAAACCCTCGCCACCGAGTAGATAATTCGAAAGTAGCCCGCCACGCACTTTAATGAACTGCAACGCATTCTCAGTGTCCCCAATGTGTGTTATATCGAGCAATCGAACTAGTACCTCGTCACCTTGCAGCTCTAGGATTAGATCGCGCGCCTCATCGTTCAAGTAGCAAATATTACCGAGCGCCCGACAAATTTGTATGGGCAACTCCAGATTCTTATCGGCCGACAACTCACGTAGACAATTCAAAAATACTTCGATTATTTCACGTTTGGTGAACTTTTTACGTTGCACTTCGGATTTTGTGATTTCGGCAATGCATTTGGCAGCTTCCTTGCATATGTTCGATTCCTCTGATTGTGCAAGAGCCATGAATAGATCAGCTAACTCATGCTTGTCGAATAGTTTCGGATCTTTTGTAGCGGATATTTTTGTGAGAATGTTGTTGGTGTTGCTATTGCTATCGCCGCTGGTGTTGGCCGAACTAACTGAAGTTGACTTCAGTTTTTCTATTAGTTCGTCGATTTCACCTGAGATTGAGAAATGAAAAAATGAAGGAAAAAGTTGTGAATATTAATAAATCCGTAGTTAGGGAAATGCAATTGCAAATGTATTTGGTAGTATTCACGGAAATTTATAAAGGGTATTTAGGCTATCTTCGTTAATGTATTAATTCGTTATCTGGTAACTCGGTAACACTTTCAACTTCGAACGCTCCTTACTCTTTTTCTGGTTAAAATTACTATCGAATCAGCTGGCATGAAGTTCTTTTATTTACAATCATTTATTCATTCCGCGACAGAAAGACTTATTGAACTTTTGATAAAAGGTTTGTATAGTAACCAATAGTCAGTACTTATCTGTACTGGAACCTGAAAATTTTTACCAGAAAAGTGTATGATAACCCAAAAAATTTGTAAGAGAGCACCGAATCGAGAGCGTAACAACACGGGACCGCTTAAAATTCTTGCTAGTGAAATTTTTACTAGCAGAAGAAGAAAAATAAATGTAAAAAGCCGCCATTTGTTGAATTGGTTTAGCACAAACAAAAGTAAAATGAGTGGAAATCAAAATATTAATGATGTACTGGACTGTGTAAATAGTAAAATGTTTACACAGGATGTGACAACAGTGTTTCAAGTTTTTGCTAGTTTTGTGTTCAATATTTTTGTTCTGTTATCTGTCTTGCCACCTTGTAAAGTTGGTAATTGTATATTGATGTATTCGGTAAAATCCAAAACCAAACTATGGTGGGAGTTACCGAATTAACGCCTTAACGAGTACAGTCTGAATACCCTTATAGATTTGCGGGCGTTATAGATTTGAATGCACATTTGCATTTTGACTTATGTATATGCCTACACACTATGAATGTATAATCAGCCCTTTTCTGCATTTCGACTCGAATCGAAATTTTCTCCGTTTGGCAACTTTGGTATTCTGCGTTCCGTTGCCTTTCGATCAATCTTCGAAATTTACGATTATACCTATTCTACATTTCGATCGTAGTTCCGTTTTTCTAAGTTGCGAATTCGTTGACGGAGAATGTTTCAATTGTTATTTTCGTGGGTTTAAATAATAAAATTTTCAGCCTCATTGCGTAAGTCGTAAATTAGGTTAAATTGTACGACTCGACAACAGCAGCATTGTCTATTGTCGTACTGAAATAAGTAAACGACCAAAAGCGTCGAAAAGTATACAGTGCTGCCAAGGTTTTCCGTTTTAATACACTAGTCGAGTGGAAATTTTAGGCAATGACGTGAAATTTTCGATACGATTCGACTCTCGAAAAACGACTTGCATTCGACACGACTCTCACAATGAGGGTTTTTATAAAAAATTGAAGTAAAATATACTTTGCATGATTGTAAAAGTCATCATAAATGAATTTTCTCGATTTCTGTGTTTTCGCGAGCGGTAATACGGGCAATACGAAAAATTGGCTCAAATAATGGCAACCAAAAGGGATATTGCGCGACGTTTTCAAAGTGGAAGTCCAGGCGTTTTTGCTTACATTATCTATAAATAAGACTGTGAAATGCCCCGAATACAATTTATTCTTTTTATATAAAATTAATAGATGTATGCACATAGATACATACATACATAAAATGTGAAGTTACATAAAAAAGATGCTTTTATTATTGCACTCGTTTTTACTAACTTTTTAAAAAGAGGTGCGTATGTTGTCTCGAATTCGATTTGCTATGGAAAGATAAGCTTTGTTCTTCCCCTCCTCCTGACGGCGTTCAAAATGGGATTCATTTGCGTTCAAATCTTCCACTCTGTAGTAAATGCAAATGTTGTGAACTGCTCAAACAACGGTTATAATTTCACTTACTTTAAGCGATGAGTAATACAGTTCAAGATGAATTGCTTATGACTCTTCACTCATTTGAAAAAGATCAAACATGTCCCTAAATCTCCGCCTTTCAACTTCCGCATCAGCAATCTGGGACTCGTTCTTCTCTTCAAGCAATAACGCCGCGGCTATGGATTTCATTCTTATAATTATGTATCCACTTAAATTTTATTTTTAAATTACAGTGATGCTAGGTATATTTAGTTATTTTAAAATATTTACAAACTTTAACTTCATATGCTTGTTTTGTTTCGATTTCACACATTCCTAGGCAAACAGCTGATTTCGACCGATGTTTTCTGTCTTCCTCTTCTTTCGTTTCGATCGTAACGCAGAATACCAAAGTTCGATTCCGGCGGAGCGGAATGCGGGAACGTAATCGAAATGCAGAATAGGGCTGAATATGTACCTACATATACGTATGTATGTATGTACTAAGGGTGGGTATTGACGCAATTTTTCACCAAAATCCCCTTTTCTGTCTACTTTTACGGCTGGATCCAGTAGTTATATGGCTCGTTCCGAGGATCAGCCAGGACCCCGACATAAAGTCCAGTCGCGAGCAGCGTGATCTGGATACTGAGCGAACTCCAGAGCTGCTTAGCCATACACAGTTACATCGGATTTACACTCTTTTTCCGCCAAACTGATACAAAACGAAAAATTTTCACCAAAATTCATCACTTGAGCAGTTTTGTAGCCCGTTAAATTTTAGTATCATAAAATGCAAGTACGAAGTAGCTAGGACTTATCGTAGATTTTTGGCAATTTTTCCACGCATTTTCTTCTATACAAAAAGAATTTCGAAAATACTTTAAATCGAAAATTGCATTTTTATACTAAAAATTTAATGGGCTACAATAAAATACTGGGGGTCTACTCTGCACTGCGATTCGAAAAGCAAATGAATGAAAGCAGTATGAATTTCGAATCGCAATACATGCATACTCAAAAAAAAAAAAACTCTAAAAAAATTCAAAAGTTGAAAATTTGCATGAAAGTTTATTGAATTTTCCTGAGTTTTACACAAAGTTAAGAAATAAAAATAAAAATTGTTGCATACATTGTAAAAAATTCTCTGTGCCCAATACTTTCTGCCGTGATTGTAGACGCTTGCTATTATTTGTTAGCTTTCTGGAGGGTCCGGGCTCGTATGAAATTAAACGCAGCACATAATTTTTGATATTTTTTCGGATTTTCTTAATAACAATTTTTTGGAGTATGCAATATGGAAGCTCACTAAATTTTAGTATCATATTGTGCAAGTTGATTTCTGGCATTTTTTTACGCATTTTCTTCCATACCAAAAAAAAAAAAACGAAAATACTTTGTGTAGAAAATTGCATTTTTTATACTAAAATTAAATGAGCTAAATACTGCATACTCAAAATCGCAAAAAATCTGAAAATTGGCACGAAAATTTATTGAATTATCATGAGTTTTACACAAAGTTTAGAAATTATATTTTAATGTCCTTAGAGTATGAACAATATTTTTATTAAAATGAGCAAAAAAAAATTTAATCAATAATTGTTGCATATACTGTGAAAAATTCTCTTTGCCGTGAGTAGATGTTTGCATATCAGTTTTTAGGACTAAGCTCGTCCCCGATTAATTATAGAAGTTTTCCCTCTCAATCTAGCTGCTAAACTTAATTCTATAAATGTGCATGAGTTCTATTCCCACCCCATCGCTTTTATGTAAAATAGCTTTGTATAACACTTACTTGTTTGATTCTACTTATTTATACGATTATTTATTCAGCAATTTTGTTAAATTTGGCTGGAAAAGTTTCTGTTTGTATATTCCCTAATTAAGTCCTTAAAATCATAACTAAAATTCAACGAATCGTTTAATCTGCGATAAGCAGTAACTAAGTAAAGGCAACAAAATCATGCCAAGCATTTAATTCCTGGCCACAACGAGGATACACACACATTTGCATGTACATATATACATACAGTATCGGTCATATCTATAGCACGCCATTTCAAAGTGATATTGTGTGCACCTTATGTTTATTTGTTTATTTTTAAGAATTTTCAATTAAAATATAGTTCTTTCTCTAACAAAACCCATATAAACCCAAATTTAACAATTTGTAGAATACTACAAAAAAGTGCAACAAATTTTCATATAAATTTCAAACTTTTTTCTCGGAAGTGTTAGAATTTTTCTGA